TAACCTTTAGAATTAGCTAAATTTTTGGTGTTGTTTTTACTTAATTATGTGAATATCACGATTTAAAAATTTTAAATGAAATGGAACAATAATTTTGGAAGTCACTGTAACTTCTAGCATATATATACCTTAATTTTTCGTGAAAAAGTTAGCTGAACTTTCACATAATCCTACATGCTTTATATCTTGCTGAGAAAAGAGTGCTAAGCCAAAGTTAAGTAGGTATGAAACGTAATTAGTATTGTCTTCTAATACCAAGAATTCTATGAAAGCACATGCAAATGGAATTTTCAAATCTTTTCACATAGAGATCTACCAAAGAGAGATATAGTTGGCTTTATGTCTAACAATCTCAAAATTGTAAGTCCCTCAGCTCTTCATAACATATACTTTTAACATTAATATTTACTTTTAGAGCTGGTCCTGTATTGCGTGTAGATCTTCTCTCACATTTTTCTCATGATTGTATGAAAAAAAAATAGAGTACTGGTTAGTTAATATTTTCTTTCAAATATATATGCGAAAATTAATATATCGCATAAGATCTGACTGATCCACTTATTTTTTTGTCATATATGAGTTCATACATTATGACCTAGCAAATTCTTCTGAGCTGATGATCACTGCTCCAGACTAGTTTGAGTATCTTAAACAGGAGAGGGCCATTATTACTATAGACATATTCATCCTCTGATTCAGTTTCAGAGCCAGATGATTCTGTTTCAGTATACTCTGAATCATAATACTCACTTATACTATTGAATTCACGATCATGTTTAATAAACTTGATTATTATAACCTCCCTATCTAAAGCTCTGAATGGTTTGATTCAGTCTGGATTAGATGCCAATCTGTATCTGAACTAAAAATTTCAGTTTAGTTTGGTTCAGATTATTAATCTTAAAAATGCCAATCTGAATCTGAACTGAACTACAGACCAATAAAAATCCGAATTGAACTGGAATTTTTAGATTAATCTGAAATTACAATTCAATTATATAAGGAATCTGCAATTTATATGCGAAACTCTAGGAGAATCGCAAAAAATCGTGAATTTCTCTTCGAAGTTCGCAAAATTCGAAGAGAAGTCACAATTTTTTGTGACTCCAAGAGTTTTGCGATAATTTTACAAAATTTTAAGAGAAATTGCATTAAGGTTTTCGCAATTTTTTTTGCGAAATTCGAAGAGAACCCACAAAAAATTGCGATTTTCTAAGAGTTTCGCTAAATTTTTGTGATCCTTTTAGAGAATTCGCAAATTTTGTGATCCTTTAAGAGTTTCGCATATAATCAAACTGAACTTTCAGATTAATCTGAAATTATCAGTTCAGTTCAGATTTTTTTCAGTTCAGATTAGAATTATAATCTGAAAAAAATCTGAAAATTTTCGGATTGATTTTTATACAATTTGAAACTGATCTGAACTGATCCAATCTGAAAAATTTTTGAATTAATCTGAACTGTTTAGAACTTTATCCCCATCTGAATTAATTACAGTAAAATTAGAAAATAATAATTCGTAAAATGTATATAACAAAGAAGACAGTATATATCAATATTATTTCTTAGATAATAAAGTCTTTTCTCTTTATTATTTTCCTAATATCTAGCATCCTGTTTATCAATTTTCTTTCCCATCCAAATTAGCCAATTATTATCTAAAACTAAATCATATTCAGGCTTGTCAATAATTACAAAAGTTTCTGTATCCGTTATTACTAGAGGTAGCGATTTTAACCCAACAAATATATTTGGTAAAGAAATGGAAACTTCTTCTCTACTAACCCATCCTCTTACCATCACTTTCTTGCCAGTATTTGTTATACTAATGCTAAGCTCTTTTACTGTAGAATATTCTAATCTGAATTCTTTAGTAATATATAAACCAATTTTTTGGGCAAGTGCTTAACTGATATTATTATGTATGAAATTAGGGTCAATCAATGCCTTAATAGTTACTTCATCATCAACAAATGTACAGTTCACTATTAATCTTTTACGAATTTCTCGAGTCATCTCATCTTTTCATATATTATTTATACTGCAACATTTTTTAAGATTCTGTATCAAAAGATTTTTTAGAATAAATGGTATTAATTCCAGCGCAAGCTGATCAAGTAAATTAACTGTATGTATTTTATATGATTTGGAGATTTTTAATTGGAAAAAATAGACTGGCATTATGCATGTGGCTTAGCAAAAAATCTTCTAAGTTGGTGATCACTGCTCTAGTTGATGATCAGTACTCTGGATACAAAATTGAATATATGCTAACTAGAGATAAATACAATTATGACAAGTAATACTAATAATATTTCTGATCAAGTTAATGTTCAAATTCAAGAAAATCTTGAATTGCACTTATATAAGATCTATATGAAGAACTTTTATATGAAATTCTTTTATATAAAAAGAAAGATATAATAGCTATTCAGAAAAAACTAGGTATGGCGATGGGATCTCAGAAGAGACCTCCTCCATCTATTAATAATAATATAATCAAATAGCATTGAATTAAAACAAGAAAGGAAAAACACTTAAAGATTCATTTGAGCTATTGTTTGATTTGGTGGAGGAGTTAAAATTGATACTGGAAAAAATTGATATCTGTGGTCACCCTATCCTTACAATATTATATCAATATATGCAAGATCTTATAGATATAACATTTGGGAAAATGTCACTTAAAAAAATTTATCATTTATTTTTATATTTAAAAGCGGATATAAGCATAATTCAAAATTATCTTGATATTATTGGTTATACTAATTGAGAAATAAGTGGATTAGAAGCTAATAAAAATGCAATAGCATATCTTTATATGATCAGATTTTCTTCTAGAAAAAAAGTTCAGATGAGTTAATATTAATAGGAGGTAAAATGTTTTGTTTTATTGAGAAGGCTTTTGTTAATTTTGAAGGTCTCCCCCTCAACAATTGCATGAAGTTTTGTAAAAAATTCGGCTAGCACAGACCAGTGCTCATGTCTAGAACAGGTTAGCTAATCTATATTTTTTGTCATACAGGAATAAATACATGTGGCTTAGCAAAAAATTTTCTGAGTTAGTGATCTCAAAATTCTAAAGTCCTCAGCCTTTCATAATATATGCTTTTGTCAGCATTATTTATTTTTACGGTAGGTTCATTGTTGCAACTAGACCTCTTTTCACATTTTTCTCATATTCATTTGAAAAAAATAAGGTATTAGTTAGTTAATATTTTCTTGTTATTATATGTGAAAATTATTATATCGCATAGACTTGCCTTATGATCTGCTTATATTTGTCACACAATCTAGCTGAAGGCGTTGTGTGTAGTTTAACAAATTCTTCTGAGCTAGCAATCACTCCTCTGAACTGGCTGGCTTAAAATAATCATCTTTTTACGCAAACTCTAGCTCTCGTGCTAATCTATCCAATATTAATTTAAAACTAATTATATAGACTTCTTATTGAAGTTCAGGAGCAACCCTGCAAAAAATACTTTTTAATATTTATATTCAAATCTTCTATAATATCATCTAAACTTTTCATATTATGCAAATTGCTAGTAAACTCCATATTTTGTTATAGGAGCCTATATTCTTAATTGAAAAAATAATATTAATGTACGCATAATAACTTCCCTACCTGCTTGCTCATACATCAGAAAAAAATATATAATATTCATATTAATGCTGTAACTTGTCTTTCCTATATATTCACCATTCACTAGTCTAGCTTATAAAAAGCTTTGCCAGAAGACAGTTAGATTGATATTATTCTGAGCATTTGTTCTATTTCATTATCTGATCTTTCGCGATTCTCCTCTTTAGTTATATGATAATAAAGCTCGTATAATTTCTTTAGGTTGGCATATAGATCATTATCTGCATATCTTTTGCAATAATTTTCTAGCCTTAGAGTGTATGCCTCTTCATTAGAAAACATCTTGACTGCGACTGTTTTAATATAGTTATTTCAATTTCTTTTCAGCTCGCAATTTCTTTAAATAGTTTCCATAATTTTTTGCAAGATTATCATATTTTCTGCCTTTCGTAATGCAATTTTTTATGACTTTGACTTGCGCAAGTTCTATACCTTATGATTGACCATTTTTGTATTGTTTCTACTATAACGATAGAAAAACTTTAATTAATGAAAAATATGTTCTTTAGAATTTTTTTATCTGAAAAAAAATATTTGTTATAAAACACAAAGTTTAACTTTTATAGTCTTTTCTTCTGCTTTCTCAGAAGATATTTTAGATATTATCAAACGTTTATATAGTCTAATTCGCTAATGTCTATAGGGGAGAGTTCAAATCTTATCAAGTAAGATCTAACGCTTGTTATTATATGGATTCAGCCCTATCTTATTTACCCTCTCCAAATATATTTGATGATCATAACTTCAAAGATTATACATATCATACTAGGTTAGTTTCTTGTTCCTAAGATATTCTAGAAATTTATCATATCGAAGCTTTTTTTTGACTACGCATTTTTTTACACCCTTTGACTTTGGATGCCATACTTTTTCTCCCATTTCTTTTTACCCTATGACTTTCTATATTCTTCCTCTTCTAACTCTTTTTCGAAATCTGTATCCGTTTCAAAAGTTTTAAGATCATGATCTGCTAGAAGAACTGAATACATTTTTGGCTTTAAGTATACTGATTTACCTATTAGATTTCCTTTTATCTTATCCTTCATTAGAAACAAGTCTCCTAAATAGTTAAGATCGAAAATGTCTGGTCTTTCTATTCGATCTTTATATATGTTTTCAGTTTTTATCCATATTATGAGTGAGTCTGTATCTGTATAAAGTAGACAAACCTTATCTTTATAGCGAGGCTTTATGTAACTGTACTAAAAGTTGAACATTATAGCCTTGCTAATATCGAGAATTACCTATCCTATATAGATTAGTTTGTTTAGAGTTACTGTACTTTTTAACATATGGACTGCTATAATTCCCCTTCAAATACTTTAAAGCCTACATACAATAGTGAACTTGCTAGGCGTCTGATTTTTTATCCTCTTCTATTTAGAGTAATTCTACTCTCATATGTTTACAGACATTCTCCATCTGTTTGCTAAAGACTGCATTATTTTTTAACTTATAGTACATAACTCCAAACTCATCCCCAGTGACCTTAACTATTTTGCGTTTACAAATATTTTTCTCAATATATTTTTTCATCAATGGAGACTGCTGGAATTTTAATCCTCCATAAATCTTTGTAACTTTTATCCTCATTTTCATGTATAATTAGAGTGCATGATAATGGACCACGTAGTTCTTTTAGAATAAAAAGTTTAGACAAGATTTTCTTCTGTTATATATTTTCACCTCTAACTTCTTTATCATGTACTAATCTTTCATTATGCAAGCTAAGTCATTCTTTTGGAACTATCTGTTTTTCTGATGCTAAAGAATAATTCACAAAAAAATCATGCAAGTGCATTGGGGCTTCTAGATCAACGTTCAATATATATCCTATTTCAGCATCTTATGCAATACTTTGTATGTTCAGAACCTGTTCTGGGCTTACTTTTCTCAATATTTTTATAGGCATATATTGGGTCATCACATCTGAATATAAAGCATTCATATCATCATATAAGATCTAAGATGTTGGTTTGTCTGAATTGTAATCAGAACATTTAGGATTATTAGCTTTGGCATAACAGTAACTTGCAATTGTCATATCTCTACTAATGCTTTTCTCAACTATCAAGTACTCATCTATATCTGTTATTAGCTTAAGTTCAGCTTCACTACTTTTGTATAAGAAATCATTAAACATTCCTGATGCAAATATGTAACAAGAGGGATTTAAGTCATCATCATTCAAGCACATGATAATGTAGTTCATTAAAACATCCGCAAGTAAAAGTACGTCAGTTTCAAGATATAAGTCATAATATTCTCTAAAATTCTTCATCTCAAATTCCTGCTATATCTTTTGAGCATGTTCATAATCCTCTTTACTAATATTTTGCTGGCTAAGAAGTGAATAGAAACTCTTTCTAGGTGGAAGGCTTATTATGTCAAATTTTTCTTATGTATTTGTCCAGTCGTATGGGAAAACGCCTTTTCGAAAAAAAGCTTAATCTTATCTATTGAATAGCCTTTCTCAGTAAAGTATCTAACAGTTAGGGAATTTTTTCGAGCTTTTCTCCTAGACTCTACTAATTTATCTAATCCTATTCCCATATGCTGAAAGCTATCAAGAAATCAGAGCTGATCAACGTTTATGGTTTTGTACTTTCCTATATTTTCTAGAATGCAATTTAACTTATCAGCTGTGAATTTGCTCATAATATTCATAAGCGGATGAGAGTCATATCCCTGAAAATTATGACATATAAGAGGCACTTTAGTTTCAAAAGAGCCTATTCGCAATTTTTTATTGCAAGAATCATGAGCTGGGTCTCGGTACTTTCCATTTATATAATTATGATCTTTTACTTTTGATTAAGTATACTTAAAGCTTCTCGGTATCTTTTTTGTGTTTCTTTTTTTTAGGATGTTCTTTTTCTATGCATGTTTCCTATTCTTTAATTTTTAATAAATTATGCTTTGCTTCTTTAAGTTTTTGTAATATCTCTGGTGTTGGTTTTAAAAAAGGTCCCTTGCAAATCTAGCATTCTGTCACCTCATTGTATACTTTAAGATCTCCTGGTACTATTATTATTTTGCAGGCGTAGATAAGTCCTCCTGTATATTTATCAGCTCCTTCTTGATTTTTGTAACGAATCTTTCAAGCGCATCTGAATCCCTATATAAATCTTGACTTATGATTTTATAGCTGAGTAAACTATCTATATGAATAACTACATAGCAATAGCTATACAGCTTGTGTATCTGTAATCTTTTGGTATAGGTTAACTTCATTTTCTCTTCAGGGGTTAACTTTTCAGTTAACATTTTAGATCCCAAAAAATGCGATATAGATTTAGTTGCATGTATTTATGGTTATAAAAAGCTTTAATACTCCTATTATTAACTAGTATTTGTGATCGCTAAGAGGCATTATTTAGACCCTTGCATTTTAGCGAATGTTTATTATATCTTATCTCTGAAGAGTATACATGAAGATAATAACGATAAATGTATTTTTGCCCTTTATATTTGCTATGATTATATACTAGCTTATGTAAATCTTTGATAAACAGTAGTGACTTCTTTCTTCTTCCATAATTACTAAAAGATTTACTTACTTATATTCATCCCTCTTCTTTCTGAAATATAGCAAAAATTAAGACATTTGTTTTGGTTATACCATTCATAGACACATAGACTGATTTTAGAATTATTTTCTTCGAACTTTTTATAAATTGGTATTAAGACTGGCACTGGAAATAGAATATTATCTATATTAAGCTTCTTCATAAAATCTCCATATAGCTGATACGAATTTCTTTCTGAATGAACTTTAACTAGATGCAAAGCTTCTAGAACATTTCAGCTGAAATACCAGTCATCATTATTTTGAATATTAATAATTCCATTATTGCGTTTTGGTAAAGTTTCTGGTAAAGGTATATAAGTAGTAGAACCAATCAAATTAAAATCAGCTATCTCTATACTAGATTCTTCTATATATTCTGGATAAGCATTAGATATTTGATATATTAGTTAGCTCTAACCATCGCGCTATTACTTGCTTATATAATTTTTTTTAATTATTTATTTTCTATGTACCTATCACTTTTCGATCAGTGAAGATGGTATTTGCAGGCTTGCCAAAATAGTTCTAGTTATCTTTCTGAAACTGAAACATTAACTATTTATTAATTATTCTTTTAATATTTAGTAATATAAAATAGGATGATCAGTGAATATTCCTGCTCATTTCTTTGCAATACTGAAAAGGTTTATAAGAAAGCTTCTACTAGGCCTGTTGGATGTCGATTTCATTAAAAATCAAAAAAACGGTTACTATGTTCTGATTGTGGTAAGCTAACTGCTTCTGCTTGTGGCTAATACCCAGATCATATTATGTTATTCAGTTTTATGATAAGCTTCAATCAGAAAGTTTTCGATTGGAGATACAAGAAAGACTTTAATCAAAGATACGTAAAAGACTTTGATCTGAGACATGAGAAAAAACTTATGAGGAAATGATACTTGCCTATAGTGATACGCTTTCAAAACTTAATATTTCTCTTTATAAGGAATGCCTCTATCCGATAAAACTAGAAGAGGGAGAATATTGTGATAGATGTTAGCCAGAATAAATAGAAAGATTATTTCAGCTAAATCTTTACCTAAATTTTGCTAGAATTTGGAAGCGTAATATTTAATGAACATTTGCCTCCCCCTTATTCATAGAATTTCAGAATGGTAATGTAAATATAGTTTTTTTTTACTTCTCTCATCGTTCTTGAACAATTCCATAGATTTTATAGAAAGATATTGGTTTTTTCGTTAGATTTAATAAATTTTCCAGCAGGAAGGAATCATTAGACATAAATGAATAATGTAATAGATAAGGAGTTAGCTAACACGAAGCTAATTTCTAATATATATTTTTTGTTAAACATAAAATTTCCGGTAAGGTGAAATAGTTAGACTTAAATTTTCCATTAAAGTTTTATGCTATTTGATGAGCTAGCCTATACTGAGTCCATTCTTGACTAAGAAAAAATTGGGATAATTCCGTGGATTTTGCAGGGATAACATTTTGTTAGACTTTATATATAATATGATTTTTAGTAAGCTAGCTTACATTAAACCCATTCTTGATTAAGAAAAAGTTAGGACAAAAATCTCGTTAGACTTATTTTTTTTGTTAGATTTATTATTTTTCATTAGACTTAAAAAATCATTAGATTTATTGGGTAATAAGGACCGTTAGACTTATTTTCATTAGACTTAATTTTTCGTTAGATTTATTTATAGAGTAATAAGAACTATTAGACTTATTTTCGTTAGACATAGGTAGTTAATATGCTATTTAAAGAGCTAACTCATGCAGAATCAATTCCTAATATAATAAATTTCATTAGATTTAATAAATATAACTGAAAAGTTAATATAAAAATTAAGATTCTAGAGCTATTAGAAGTTTTTCTAATATATTAATAAAAATTGATATACTTTTTAAAGATGGAGAATCCACATAGAGCTTTAAAATATAATATTGAAATTAAGATTCTAGAGTTGATAGAAGCTTTTCTAATATATAAGAAAAAATTAATATTGTATTTTAACGTTCTGTGGCTAATATACACAATATTTCAGTAGAAAATCAAACCTTCAGTTCTCAAACTTCACTTTCACATTATGTACTTCAATAATACTTATCCAATAAGCATCCTGTACACTTTATGCTTACTGAAGTTAGTAATGATATTGAGGGTATTTTTCTTATATTTTGCATATCACTGATTCTTTAATTAATAGGTAAAAGGCAGTCATAAATATTATAAGCATCAAGCTCTTTTTTGATGTCATAGTACTTGAAGAAATACCAATATTTATGTTTAAGATCAAATTGATGAATATATTATCTAATATTCTCAGAAGCATATTGAAGTTTAGATTCGAAACTATTAGCATTTTTCTACTTTAAGGATATCATACAGAGAAGAAGTTATATATCTGTATAAAGACATAAAATTACTTTGATCAGTATAATTCGTTAAAAACAGTTTGTAAAACTGGTATTAGTATTGCTTCTAATGACCTAAATCCTTTAGGAGAGACTGTTCAGATTACACAAAATTTTGATATTATCACATCGAAAAATCACGTGTATACACAAATTTTCAAATTTAGAAGGAGAAATTCCAGTCACTTTATACTTAAATTCCTAGACAAAATTCAAACATTGATTAACTCAAAGAAATATATTATAAATTTACGATTTTAATATAAAATTTTATTATTATTACTTTAACAAAAAAAATTTTACAAATTTGAAAATAATATCTTTGTATGTTCTAATAAATTTTCTGTTACTACCATATCATACATTACTTATTTTATATTACTCAAATCATCTTCATTCACATTTTTAATATTTTCATTAATAGATTCATTTTTAACCTTTTTTTCCTTCATTAAACTTATCATCAATGCATCGACATTATTCTTATCCTCTCTTTAAAGATAATTCAAATATATAAAACATTTAAACTGACTCTTTTGCAAGTAAATATCATGATATCTATGACCATATGCTAGAATATTGCTATCATGCAAATTGCCATCACAGTATATATAATCGCATAGTATAGTAGTATTTAGTCTTCTGAAAGTAACAAAATCTCTTGAAAGATGATGATCAGTTATCTCATACCCTAATGAAAAAAGTTTATATGTGTTAATATTATTGAATGAAGATTTAACAACTAAAGAATACTGATTATGAGCTTGATATATTTTCATAAATATATCTAAAAGTAATATAACATACTTCTTTGAATGAATGTGCAATTGCTTTGGTATATATAGATATTTTACGGAATTCACAAAAAGTTGTCAAAAAATGTTATCTTCTCAGTGCTGAAATATAAAGTACGCTTTCTTTCGTAATTGTTTAGCCATGGAAAACTTAACAGTATATTAGCAAATAATGCTGTAAACGATTTCTATAAGATAATTACTTATTAAAGTAAGGTTATTAGTAAACATGCTAATTATTAGATGATTAGTTTCCATTTAATAAAAAATGCCAAAAAAAAATATCAAAGGAGCTCGCTTATAGTTTCTTCGATTAAATTGAAGGAAAAAATCGCTCTAATAGCATATGTAAGCTTTTTCGTAAGCCACCCAATTTTCTTCCTGATGGTATACTGCATAAATGTCAAGAATTAATAGAATTAAATTGCTGAACATATTGGTTAAATATAAAAATTTAATGTT